AAGAGACTGCTTTGGCCATAGGGCAGTCTTGGTTAGTTGTCAAACTGGGATATCTGTTAAACTGGGGTACATGAAGATGCTAAGTGGTACCTGGGCATGGGGATAACTTTCAGAGGATCAGCTTTTAATCCCCAACATTTGTATATTCTCCTGAAACTAATCTGTCTGTAGGTTGCAAGTTGTCCTTTTCCACGTCTTCTTTTTCAATCTCACATCTCCACTTCGCCAAAGAAGGGCATACCTCTTACCCAGCCCTGATCCTGCTATGTGCTTCATCTTGGCGAAGGGACAGTGTGAAATATTGGTTAGGAGAAAGCAGTTTAACTCTGATTGGATGACAGATTCATTTGTAACTCTGGTGGTTTTCAAATCTCTCTGTAAAATTGAAGGCGGACCCGATCAAATTGGCAGTTATTAGACCATCAAAAGTTCTTTTCAATGATAGATAAAGTGATTTTTGGATAAAGTGCTGAGGGAGTTTAGAGAATCTAGGGCCAGTGCTATACAAAGCTGCTTCCTGAATCACATCTACTTGTGTGAACAAGCTTTTCCAGTGCTTACATTCAAACCAAACAAACAAAAAAAAAACCGAGGACGGTAAGACGAACTTGGTGCCGATCACTCCTGTCTCATTCTAGCAGTAATACTGACATGAACCAGTTAGGGGGAAGACAGGTCCATCCATCTCATTAAAGGATGCATTTTTAATAAAATGTGAATTTGTATGTTCAGTTACCCATCCAAATTTGTGAAACTTGTTGGTTTGATAAGTTGTGTGCTAATCAAAATTACATTGATAATTCAGAAGAAAAAAAATTTAAGATCTCGACCCTATGGTCACAGGAAATCTCAATTTACAGTTTTGTTGAATAAGGCTTTGAATGTAAAATATATATTACTTTCAAATTCTTTGTGGGACTTCTCAGCAAGAGAGGAAAGAAAGCCTCTCTGTATATTTTCAAAAATGGATGATGACAGATGTCATTGCAGTGTTATTTAGAGTCCTTTGAATATGTTTGAAAAAGTGTGAGTTTTATGAAAAATGCTGATATTTACAGTACGCCAGAAATTACATTCTTTGCAAACATTTAAATGCAGAGTGTAACACCTTAAATACTGGAGTCACTTAACTATATGGGGCAGCGTTCAGAGTTTGTCACAGTCTTGTATGAGGGTCTGGAAGCAAGAAACACTGAGCAGTGCTGGTGGTGGTTCCGGCTGGGCTGGCGGTGGTGGGGACGGAGGTGCGAGGAGGGGTCTGAGATGAATTTCTGTTGACTTGGTCGTGGAGAGGGAGAGAGGAAAACCGTGGAGGGCTTCTGGAATTCCAGTTCAGCATCTAGGGAGAGGATGACTGTGATGGGAGAGGATCTAGTGGGAAAGAGATCAGCCCGCTTGGCTGTCTTCTCGGAATCTCAGGCTTGATGGAACACGTCCCGTGGAGGGGGCAGGTGGGCAGGTGGGCAGGGGAGGTGAGCGTGGAGCTGGGAAGGCCCGGGTTGGGCTCCGAGGGCCTTGTGTGTGTGCCTTGGCCCTGGTTTTCCTCTTTTCCAGGTGTAGTTCTCCTCTTTCTTATGAATGAGAACCAGTTTCTTTTCACCAACTTCCCGTCACAGGTAAAGGTATTAAGTCAGATTTTATCCTTGTTGCTGGTTTGGCATAGATTATCAGAGTGAAGGTGTGGGAGTGAGGGAGATTGAGTCAGTGGCTTTCAAGCCTTTTGACAGTGACTCACAGTAAAAGATACATTTTACATCACCATTGCTTACGCACCCAAAGGCAACCTGTGTAGATATATGAATATGTCCCTGCATGCTTATTTATTTATGTATAAAATAGTGCTTACTCTTGCTACCTGTGGTGTCCTCTATTTTCTATTTCATTTTTTTTATTGTGGCAAAATATATATATTTACCATTTTGGCCGTTTTTAAGTGTAGAGTTCTGTATATTAGGTAAATTCACATTGTTGTGCAACCATCACGACCATCTGTCCATGGAACTTGTTTTGTTTCTTTTTATGTGTATTTTTTTTTCCTTTTTCAGTTTTAATAGGTGGAATGATTACAGTTTGCATACGTATACATTATGTTGCATGTCAATACATATATACAGTGTACTGCATTTTTTTTTTTAGTTTACATATATGTACATTGTTTCTAAGAACAGATTAGAGCTTTGGCTTTTTAAATTTACATAGTTATCAAAGGAGTAAAGCCAACCACAAAATGAGAATCAACAGAATGCAGTAATCCAATATTAAAGGACAGTCAAATATGCTTATGCATATTCAAGAAATCAGTCATCTAAGCTATAAATAATAAGTAGTTCATTTGTTTTTAAGTGTAGAGTTCTATGGTATTAAATAAGTTCACATTGTTTGTAACCATCATGACCATCTGTCCAGGGAACTTTTTTATTTCATTCAAAAAATGCTAGTTGCCACGGCTGAGTTGATTTCAAAACTCCTTAATCATGATTCACAGTTTGGTCAGCCCTGATTTATATGTTTTAATCTTCTCAGAATCAACTCTTCCAGCATTTTGCTGTGTTTTATCCCTAGTTGCTTTCCTTTTAGCTGGACTTCCAAGCCTCTTGGTTGCTTTTGGGTTTTTTTGTTTGTTTGTTCTCAGTTGAGATTTTTTTTCCTCTTGTGTGACGGCAAGTTCGTGATGCAGGTTGGATGTTGAAAACCTTCTAGAACACCTTCTTTGTGTCCATTTCCATAGCTTCTGGTGTTCTCTCTGGAATTCTAAGTCTGATGTCCTTTGATGGGTAAAGTAATCACCAGAGTTCTTACTATTTATTTACCTTCTACTGCACAGAAGGGATTTTTTTAAGAAGTTGAAAGTTTTAATACTTTCAAAACTCATATAATCTCTTGTGACTTTTAAATTAAACCTTTTGCTTTAAGATACATGGAAAAGCTGTAAAGATCGTGCAGAGAGTTTACCCTAATGTCAGCGTCTTATGTTACCGGGGTACATTTGTCACAGCTGAGAAACCAGCACGGGTCCTTTACCATGAACGAAACTCCATTCTTCATCCGGATTTTCCTGGTTTCCCCCTAATGTTCTCTGTCCCAGGGTCCTACCCAGGACACCATATTCCTTTTAGTTGTCACATCTTAAGGTCCTCTGGGTTGTGACAGTCAGACGTCCCTGACCTTCGAAACCTTGGCTGTTTTGAAGTTCTGGTCAGGTGTTTTGTAAAGTGTCCCTCCATTCGGAGTGGTGTGAGGTTTTTCCTCATGCTTCTGTTACCGAATCCAAACTCATTCCGCTCGCTGCATGACAGGCCGGTAACTCGGTAGACAAAGTGTTGGGGCAAGGAATAATGACTTTATTTGGAAAACCCACAGACCTAGAAGATGGCTGACTACCGTCCTGGAGAACTATCTTCCCCAAATCTTAATTCAGGCTCTTTTTTTCCTAAAAAGGGAAGGGGTGTGCTTGTTGCAGACTTCTTGGTGTAGGAATCCTTTGTTCTTGCAGCTGTCCACGTGGGTCCGATCATGGTGTCCCTGTAAAACCTCCAACAAAACAAACTTTTCCTATTCTGCAACTTGTTATCTCTATATGAATGGGAAGGTGTTATGCCCTTAAAGGTCAGAGTCTTGAGAATGGGCTCTCCGGTATATTTCAGGCCGTAGGCAACTTTCTGCAGAAGGTTCAGAGCCAGCAGAACTAAGCCTAGGAAACAGAGCACAGGGTTAAAGCCAAGGGAACGGCTCTAAT